ACTGGCTGCAAAGATGCTGCAGGACTTGGAAAGAGTTTAAGAGAGAGTGCACAGAGATGTGGACAGGAGGAAGCCCACACTAATTACCAACTGAGCTGCCTTGGCTCAACCCTTGCCCTCAGGACACTGTGAACTTCCAGAAAAAGCAAATCCTACCCAGATTATTGACATAATCTGTTAGGACTGTGCATGTTTCTCATATTTAATTGTTTCTATAGTTCTTTTTCTATTAGAGGAAACAGTATATTCAGCATTCTCCTCGTGGTTCTGTAACTTCTAGAGAATCAGTATCAGTAAATGTAACAAATCCCTAACCTCATTTTCCTAATATCAATCTTAATTAATGGCATGGTAGAATTCATTAGACAATGATTTTCTCAACATTTGATGCTGGGCAGCATTAGCATACAATCATATCACCAATTTCCTTTGTTCATCAAAATACAAGTCAAATATTAGGGAATAGTCCACTGAGTAAGAAAAGGCAATTTATTAATACTAAAAAATAGCTTCGCAAATTTTTACCATGCATATAAATATATGGAAAATTAAAAGAACTACAAATGTATTATTACAATTCATATTCTGGGAGAAATACAATGGGAAAGAGATGAGTTTTGACAAAGAAGCTATGCCAGCACAAAAAAATACTGCAATTTTTTCTATGTTTTTGTCAGTAAGAGAAAGTCTCAGCAGCATCTTCATAATCTGTAAACCTTATTTACAACAAGTCAGGACCCCTTGGCAGAGCACTACAGTCACTGCCACATGACAGGAACTTTCCCTGTAATTTGCAGTAACAACACACCTGGTTCAGCTGCACAGGGTTTAGTCAGAATGAAAATTAGAATGCAAATTTTAGAAGAGGGTCCAAGAGAACATCTATGATTATGATAGAAGATCACACTGGTTAAAAAATTCCAAGATTCTTACACAAAACCCAGAAGAATAACACTAAGGCTGCTTAATTTTTAAAGGAAATGAAAAGCAGACTTAAAATAAATACCAAGAGCTAGCACAGAGAACTAGAAAATTCAGATCTCAGGGGAAAAAAAAAGGACATGAGAATATGCAATGAAAATTAATAGACAAGCAGAAGGATATCTCTCCTCCCACAAATTCTACCTGACAGAATCTTTTTCAAGCACTGCAGGTGTTTATTGCAAGACTCATTGTCAAAGATAGGTTGCCAAACCTGGATACCCGAGGAAATACAAGGGTTGCTCCAAGGGGAACTACATCATATCCTGATGGCTGAAACCTGTTGCTTTGAGGATCAAACTCATCCCTTCACCATTAAAATCCAAGGTAAAGCTACTCCCAGTGCCCTACTCAGCCCAAAGTAAAGTAGATATGAAATAAACTCAAGTCTGAGCAAGGCACTGTACTTCTCTCCACCTGGTTCTTTGTCTTCATTTAAGAGGGTAACACTGAAGGTCTTGGACACACTTCTTTTTGCCTGTTTTGTTAAAATTGAGAAGGTTTTTTTTTAGCTACGCCCTGCTCAGTACTGAAGCAGGGCTGGGGTTTTCCTCTTTGCCACACGATGTCAGTGTTGCCGAGCAAAAATTGGGAATTTGCATATTTATCGGGACTCAAATAAAAACTCAGACATTTTGCTCCTTTAAGGTGATGACGGGACAACTTCACAGAGCGGAAAGATGCCCCAGTGCAATAAGTCCCAAACTTCCCAAACTTCTAACACGGAAGGATGTGCACGTTCCCAGCCAGCACGAATGGCAGAAGTGCCAACATCAGAATCCTTCTGTGGTTTGCTGTCTCGAGGGGATTGTGAAATCCCACCTCTACATCTCGTTGGCTTGAATTTCCGAAGGCTGATGAAAATGAATCCGTGTTATGTTTATAAATCTGGTGAAGAAAACAGATGATGAGAGCAAAATTTAAAATATTCCTCAAAAGGCAAAATGAGCCCTGCCATTCCCACCTCGTTGGTGGGATTCCCAGTTCTAGCTGGGAAATTGGTCCATCGAGCATTTCAGACCCGAATGGGGCAGGGAATTGTGCCATAACCTGCTCCCTAACCCTCCAGCACACACCTCTTTTGGAGCTATCATTCTAAAACGTAAAAATCTGCTTCCTAGAAAATTCATAGTGCTGCTAAGGCACAATCAAATTCAATCCTTGCTCTCAGTCACCCAAACCTGGAGAGAGAGCAGAGGCCTGGAAATAACAGGATCACTGTAAAATATATCCTTTATACCTTATAACTAAAAATCCAACCATATAGATTTTTTAGAACCAAACCTTTCTTCTTGCAATACCACTGACAAAAGATTCAAAGTAACTTTTCTTGAACACTTTTTTATGTCTCAGTCCCATTTTTCCCCCTATAATCCCTTTGTATCTCTTACTAGCCCACACTGTGTCCCACATTTGGGGTATGCCAGGTTAAAAGTCACACTATGTCACCTTCTGGCTTCAAACACTGGAATGTGATTCATTCTGTGCAGCCTCAAATAAAAATCCTTCCAAAATGGGGGATGGGGAGAAGGTACTAGCAAAGTTCAGCTCCTGTGTGTGTTTGAGGCTGTTTAATTTGCACTAAAAAGCCCAGCAGATGTATGAAACATTGCCTGAGGTCTAATGTATACACTGATGTACCCAGACAGAAGCTTAAAACTGCAGGAAACGAGAGCAGGAACATGAAAAACTACAAAAGGTGGATGCAAATGCTATTTTCCTTGGTATATCTGTCTCCCTCACCATCTGTATCGACAGACTTTTATTTTTTTAGCACTTCTACACAAGAAGAAATTAGAAAAGAAATGGTAATTGTAAATATTGAAGATGATGGCCATGTTGTTTCAAATCCCTTGCCCACTTGTTACGAGGTACTGCTGTGCATCTTGTGTCTTCCCTGTTAACATTTCATGGAGAACTTCCATGAACATACGTTTGTTCTCCTTCCCAACACTTTGTTCTGTCACTGTGACAGATGGCTTTACACTGAAGCATATGAAAATATTAAATTCCTTATCAACCTGTTGAAGTTTGTAATGCCTGTAAGTAATAACCATCTTGGCAGCTATTCTTTTAATACAGATATTACAGAAAGCTATTTAGTGCCTCTATATCAGTTCGTTATTTGTCACAGACTATTTTAAAACTACAGTTTTCTTTGAACTTGATTAACAGTAGCAGTGTTGCATTCAAAATAATAGAATTTCTAACCAGAATATTATTATTTAATATTTGTTTATCCACAAGTAGAAAATTAATTTAAAAATTACAGTTAAGAAATAATAGGGGCTTCTGCTGTACCAAAAGGAGTGGGGAGGGTGCTGGGACTTGGTTCCATGCTGTTCCTTCTCTGTCTAAGCACAGCAACTGATGGAGCACTGTCTTCAAGATTTGAATCAGTTCTCTATAACACAATATTCCATCCTGTGCCAAACGTGCTGTTAGCTCTAGTAACTAGATTTAAAAAACCCAAAACACAGTGAAAAGAGGGTGTCCAGCATGCTCATCCTCTTCATGGTGCTCACATTGAATCAACTTCACTTTCAGTTGGTAAACTGAAATTCCCAAGACACCACTGGTTAAGAACACATTCTTTTTATTTCTATTATTTCCTCAGCTGGAGGTTTTTTGACAAGAGGTTGCTGGCTCCTATATTCACTGTGTAGAATACTACATAGGAAATAGCACAACAAAAGCCGCTCTTACACGTCTCCAGTAGTAAAATAAAAAGTCTTAAATAATGTTGAGCTCTAATATGTTCTGTGTAATCAGCTTTTTATTAAAAAAACCTTTAATGTTATGTTATTCATAGATGTAAAAGTCTGCACAGTCCTCAGATTAAAAAAAAAAAATTGCTTTCTATTAACAAAGCAAAAATAGATTCCAAATGTCTGTATTTAAAATGCTAAAGGCAATATTACAGGAATAAGGGGAGCTGGAACATGTACTATAGATGTTATAAAGAGGTTATACAGAAGCAATCTTCAAACACATCAATTCTATTATACATGTCCTAATCATTGAGAGGATTACTCAGAACTAAGTGGCCATCTCCAGCTGAGTGTCCCCAGCAAGCAGAGTGTGAGAGGACAGCCCAGAGGGGAGCTGGGAGCAGGGACTGAAGAGGTGCACACTCCTCACTGCGCCGTTCCTCACAAAAAGAGCCAGGCTTCTGTCAGAAACTTTGCAAAACTCCAGTATTTCCCCAACTCTGTTCCCAGGAAACACTTCTGATGTTGATTCAGTGCCTCACCTCATGGAGAGTGACAGCAGCAGGAGGTCACATTCTGAACTTGGGTTAAAAACCCTTTTGGCAAGAACATGAGAGATTCGCCTCTAAATGGGAATTAAATTTGGTATTTGAGAAAGATTTTCTATCTTAGAAAAACACAGCACTGAGAACAAGTTCTGTCAGCTATAAATCAATTCTGTAGAACATGCTTACATGTATAGCTGCATTTTTCTGGCATTTGCTTCCCAACCCTTTCCTAAAAGCCTCCAGTAATAGAAATCCCATAATCTTCCTAACTCATCTGATTAAATATTAAGTATTCTCACAACCAGGAAGCCTTTCTAATGCCCAATCTAAACTTTCCTTTGTGTAATTTAAGCCCACAGCTTCCCAACCTACTCACTGCAGCCACAGAGAAGAACATGTCAATGCTGTTACATCCAATTACGTGTCAGAATTTGTTTCTTTAAGCAGAAATGCAGTCTCGTTTCTGCAGGATTGAAAGATCAAATTAAACATCTGTTACTAACTCAAGTTGGACACAGGTACTTTCTACAACATTCAGGAAAATGAAAAGGAAATTTGTCAGTGGGGAAAAAAGGACAATTCCTTTTATAATGCCAAAATGAAACATGTCAAAGTTGCAGTGCTGTCTGGCTCTTTTCTTCCACGTTTCAAGTTTTCTTAAAACATAGGTAAAATTTGGAAATTTTTTAAACTAACTAAAAATGATTGGTAGCTACCTAACTCTCCTCCCTTTATTCAGTGAAATAACTGTCTGAAAAAACCTGCTTGGATCCAGTTAGAATTTTACAGTCTTTGTGCTGCACAGACACAAAGCTTTGGGGGGGAATAAATGTATACATCCTGCATGCTATTCCTAAAGATAATTCCCCATAAGAATCTCAGCTCCCTCATCCATCTTTGTCCTGTGTTATCTTAATGGGCAAAATGCCCTTGGTGCTAAAACCTGAAGGAAATAAGAGCAGCCCAAGCCAGCTCCCTCCTGAGAAGGCACAAGATAATCTACCTGAGTCATACACTTGGTGCATGATTAGTTGGAATTTGTAACCTCCCCTTCTCTTGTTCTACACCACAGCCAAAATCAAGCTGTGCACCAGCCAGTGACTCACACCCCATTATTTTATAATATTAGTCATTTAGCTGCTAATTACCAAAAAAAAAAAAAAAAAAAAAAAAAAAAAAAAAAAAAAGCGGGTTTACTACAAGTTCATGGAATAGATTTGCCTCATTTTCCAATTTTCCATAGATGTGTTTCAAAACTGCAGAGGCTTTTTCCACTTCATCCCAGTGGTGCTTCCCCTCAGTTCTGAGGGGCTGGAATGAGCCCCTGCTCCCCAGCTGCTGTGATCTGGGGTACCACAGGCTGGGAGGAAGGAGCTGATTCAAGGACAGTCCTTCAGATCCTCCTGGATTCACCTCCCTGGAGTGCAGCAGGGCTGGACTGCTCAGGCAGGGTCTGCATCACCTCCCACCCTCCCTTCACCCAACACTTCCCTTCTGAGTCCTTGCCCTGCACTTCCTCTCACCCCACACTTGTCCTGTGAGGTTAAACTGACAGCATAAATGCACAGAGCAATAATTCAGAGAAATTCATCCAGAGAAAGAATGTGAACCAGGAGCAGGCAGAGCTAATCAAGTCTTGAATGTATCAGCAGAAGTTTATAACTTTTATCTTTTTATGAGACAGTTGATCACACACACATATCCACACTTCTATAAATTTGAGAGAGCAATAAAGCTTTCTAGCAGACTTTGGCAAAATAAAAAACCTCATAACCTCTGTTGCAAAAAAGCCCAATAGGCAGCTTAGAGATCTCAGTCAGCTGTGAGAGCTGCAACCTCAAATGTCTGACATCATACAATAATAATTACAATCCTGATTAGAAATCATGGCCAATATTTGTCTTCCGAGGTAAACTAAAATGCAGTGTTTTTATTTAAATGCAAAACATTCTAAAATAATGTCTTAGATGCAAAATAAAGATTTCTAATCTAAATGATAACTAGGAAAGGTTGAAGCAAAATACAGAAATTAAAATGCCTGGGACAGAAACCTCAGGTCTGAATCACAGCCTCTGTCATAAAAGACTCACACAAGGAGCAGTGAAATCTTTTTTTCTTCAGGTTCCCTGAGAAGATGAAACACTGAGGTCATCTGCAGCATGGGAAATCTTTATTTGTCTAGCAAAAAAATATTTTTCAAGACAGCAAAGACTTCTTAGCACTGGAACAGGTGGTCTGAGGAGGGAAGGGATCTTCCCTTCCTGACAGCTTGAAAGATTAACAGGATGTCAATCACCAGTGACACTTGACTCCTTGCAGGGAGCAGGGCTGGGCTCCATGACATGGAGGAGTGTCCTCTGCATCAGTTGTTTTAAAAATCCACACCAATATTTAGGATGAAGCCTTTAAAGTGACAAAAAACCAACAAAAAACCACAAACAACAAAAAAACCCCAAAACTGTACACGGGAAAAGATGAGACATTTTTATAATTTTCTTCCAAGCTGGGATAAAAGGATTTTTTTCACATAAATGCCTCACTGTAACACCAGGATGGAGTTTTGTTCTTTGCTTGCTCAGTTACATGTGGGCAAAAATGAATGAAAGCAGAACTGCCACAATGCCTCCCCATTGCAGAGTGCCCTGGCCAGGCCTGGAATGCAATCATTAATTAGTGAAACACTCACATACAGACGTGATGCTTCTATTAATTAGAAGAAATACCAACATACAAACAGGCTTGAGCTTTATTTTTCATTGCCCAGTAGCTGATGGCTGCTGCAGGAAGAGCTCATAACAGTCTACAGCATTGCTGATGTTTTCTCTTTGCACTTATTCTTTTTAAAAGTTTGCTTCTTTTGCTTAGACTAGGACCTGACCAGTGCAGTTTCTCATCCTATGAGACATGAAGGATTCCACAGAAGCTCAGTTCCTGTAGTGGTGCCTCAGGTTTTAGCTTTTATATTTTTCAGATTCTGAGCTGCTTTAGTGTGTGGGTCTGGTCTTCATATTATGGGATGGTGAGCTCTCTGCACGGAGCAGGGAGACAAAACAATTCCTGCTCCAGCTGGGCACCAAGAACAGATGATCCAAATCTCAGCCCAAGAGCAGAAACAACATGGGCTGGAGAGAGAAAAACAAGCAGGATGGGACTGCCTGGGTTAAAGCTGGAATGGGACAATGAACTCCAAGGTGCCAATGGAGCAGAACTGACCCCAGGGAGAGCCCCCGTGACCAGTTGTGCATTTTGGGACCATTTTGGCTCATCTTGGGTGCAGCCCTGGCTGGGCTCTGGTGCTGCCCAAGGTGGATCCATGGAGGAGATCCTTTTAATAAATCCTTGCTTTATTCTTTAGCTGTGCCCAGCCTCTGTTCTGGGTCAGCCTTTTCAAGGGATCAGTAGCTGCTGCCGAAGATACCAGCATCCCCCAGACCCTCCTTTTAAAGCCTCATTTCATTGATAACTCCCAGGCTGTAACACTTTTCACAGCTGAGCTCTCCCCTGACCCCTAGGCTCAGTTCTAAAGACCATCCTGAAGTCCCTGCATGCAGAAGGGGTGCAATCAGTGAGCCACAGCTACTGCAGGGAGCTGCTAAAACCTTCTGCTCTCGAGATTAAAATTGGGCAAACAGAACTTCTGCTAGGCTGTCACATGACTGTGCTCAATTTGATTTACCAGCTCTCATAAACACATAGAAACTTGTTTAAGAGACTGTGACATCTTGAAAAGATAACTGGAAGTAAGGAAAACATAGTAAAATATCCAATGCCAATTCTTAATATTTCCCTTTAGTAAATTCTTTCTTCCTGTTGTGTCTCAAAGTGTGAGCAAGGATAAGAAAAAGGCTCAAGCTTTCAAATATGAAAGTCAAAATGAAATTAAGTTGCTTCACACAGCCTCTCTGTTGGTACAAAGCTCAGTCTGCCACAATTGGATTTTTGACTCTGCTGGCACTGAGAAAGCCTCACAACTGGAATGAAATGCCATTTGAAATCAGATCTGCTTCTGAGATGATTTTGCTCCCTGGCACAGCAGTGGTATCCAGCTTTTCCTGGTAACTGTGAAGATTAGTGCAGGATTACAGCCTCAAGTGGTGCTGGCTTAACCAGCAAGGTGGAAAACCAGGACATCCCACCACTGTTCATTGTCCAGACCTTTTCAATAAACACTTGTTTTGCAAATGGCTGAGGTATTCAAATGAAAGCATGAGATCACATTCATTTTCATTGCTCTTGCGAAATATTCCAATAAAAAAAAAAAACAAATGAATGGTTTGAGATTACTCTGTGTCACAGGCAAATACCAAACCTTCCCTGCAAGCACAGGTGACAGCAGATCTATTCTCCTGTAAAATGCATCTCTTGCTCTCGTACACACAACCTGCTGCTATCATACATTGCAAGGCTGGGCCATGAACAGCCAGCAGGTGACCTGCTGTCCTCAGGATTACAGTCACAAAGACATGTCCTGGCAAAAAGGCAGAGCACCTGCAGAAAGGTGAACACTTATGGAAACATAAAATTCACATCAAACAGCCCAAGAGGGAGCCAGGATGCTCCAGCAGGGCCTGATCTAAATGTTATGTTCTTAGAAGACTTGCTTTAGCTCTCCAAAGATGCTCAGCTTAAATTCCCAAAATGATGCTGGTTTTGTTAAGAGCATCAGGTAGTAGTGCAAGTTCTCAGTGCCACGTGTGCCTCTCACTTGGTGTAAGAGGTTTTTAGAGTTAAAGAAGCCATTAGAGCCAGGTTAATTAGCAGTCAGAAACAAGTCCTCATGTAAGCTACAACTCATTTATCTGGAAAAACGATCAAACATCATTCCTGGATTCCTATTAGTCATGGAATCAGAAAGGTCAACTTTAACAAGGAAAACATTTAAGTTAAAAAAGACATAAACGCCTGTCCAGGGAGCAGCACAGCACAAGCAGAATAATTCACATTACAGAATGTGGGAGGTTGTTCTCAGGATTTCCCATCAATCTCCACCATAGGAGAAGTGAACAGAAAATCTTTGCTGATGTTTTGATCAAGTTCAGGTTGGGCCATTAGTCATCAGTGCCATGATTTACATCTACTTATGTCCCTCCCCTCCTCTTCCTAACTAAATTTGCCATAATTACCAGAGAGGAAATCTCCTTAAAATTTCTGAACAAATACATAAAAACAGAAGATTAAAAAAGAACCAAAAACACAACAACAAAACGGATCCTCTGCTCTTCCATGTGAAAACGTAAAAGGGATTTCTAATCATCATTAGCAAAACCTTATATTTCATATATATTACATATTGATTTAAAAATTTCTTTCAATAATATCTAAATATTTAACCAGTGTGGTTTTAATTATCTCTACCAAAATGCAGGTAATTCATGAGTAGCTGCTAAACTCCAGGTATCCAAAACAGAGGAAAATAACAATGTTTCTTTCTCCTGAGAATAAAAAGACTTAAATAAAAACTGTGGGTGCAAAATTAATGCAAGGGATTTTCAAGAATTTGTGGGGTATGGAGAAATACCTTGTTTTTGTCAACACCTTATACAAAGGAACGTTTTGAAGTTTTTATGTCTCAGAAAAAATACTGGAAGGATATTAAGTCCAGGCAGTAAAACCGGGCTCTTTGTCATGTTTAATTGCTCGGATTCATAACCCAGTTTTGCTGAATCTGGATGTTACTGCTGACTCGAGCAGTTTCTCCATTTTAATAGAAAAAGTTTGCGTGTCTCCACTCCTGTGAGACGAAAGCAATTTTTGAAATATTCCTGACCATCAGTAAAATTTCTCTCTGCTGTGCATGAAATCTGTAATTAAGTACAGAAAAAAAAAAAAAAAAAACAACAAAAAAAAAACCAAACCCAACCAAACAAAAAAGTCTCTGATTGCAACCTGGTGAAGGAAGCCATGCTGTGCTTCATTTTCAAAGACAACGAAGGGAATCACAGCCTCTGCAATTTAGCACAGGTAAGAGAAATGGAAAGAGCAACAGGCATGGTGAGGACAGACAGAAAGCAGAAATGCTGGACTCAACTCCAATCCCACAAAGCAAACACATTCCCACACTGTCCAAACTGAAGTTCAGCTCAGGTAAAAGCAGTGAGTGCACAGAGCCATTGGAGACAGCGACTTTGCCACGTTCCTTAACATCTCCACTGGATACCTTACAAAGAAAATAAAAATAAAATGGAAAAGACTTATTCCTACAGACAAAGAACTCCATGGCTGACACGATAAATTTAGAAGGAAATGCCACCAGAAGAGAGTTTTGGCAGTGACACATTTATTTCCTTCTACTGTCTGCTATCTCACCCTAATGCAGTCCCACAGCGTTTGGATTTTAAATAAAATGTGTTTGTGATGCACCCTTTGAAAGGACAAGCCTGTGTTTCTCTTCCATCTGGTGACTGTGTACTTCTTGTGTTCTAAAGGCATCCCTGGGCACAGCCAGCAGCTGGGGATCAGTGTGTTCCTGAATTCCTGATCGCTCAGCTCAGCTTAGGAGAAACATTCCCTTCCCTTGTCACACATTCCAAGACAACAGGAATTAAAGGCAGATAACTCTGCTAAACTGATTTTCACCTAGATTGGAAATATACATATTTATGGCACAGTAATAGTTTCAAAACTTTATCCTCAAATAAAGTTAACACATTCAAAAGTCATGCTTAGCTCCTAGGAAATGCCATAAAATATGTCCCAGTCTTGAAATATATATAAAAACCCCAAAACACTGAAAAACTCTCTGAAATAATCGAGGCCCTCTGAAGTCTTTGTTCCCATCTGTAAACCCTAGAAAGGTACAATCCTGTGACACAATCCTTCTAACAAAAACTCCAAAATCCCTATCACTGAAATCAACTGAAAGCTTGACTTTAGTAGCTTGATTTTTACTAAGGAGTTAAAAATACTCATTGCTTGCTTAAGTTAAAATACAAAGTAAACTTCAGACAAGATGTTTTCTATACTTGACAATCCCTATGTATTTTTTCCCCAGTTTACTTTTTCACAATTACCACCACAATAATTTAAAAACATGAGTTGACCATATTTCTCCCCTTCTCCTCTTTAAGTTAATTCTTTAGTTACCACTTCTAACATATTTATCTTCATACAATTAATTAAAAATTTAATAGCAATATTTTTCCTTACAAGAAGAAAAGCCCAAACATCCAATACTATTCTGGAGAACATTTCTCTAGACCTTTTCTAGCATTACAAATACCACCAAGTGGATCATTCTAACAAATCAATTTATTACTTGTTCCTGGAAAAGTTTTCTGGTGTATGAGCAAAACTGAGATCCTACGTGAAACTTCTACTACAAGAAGAATAAATTTGAGCAATTCCATGATAATGATGCTGCTGAAGTAAGTGGTTTCAAGTTGGAAAGATTGAAGGTAACACCTTGAATTTGCAAAGATTGAAGGTAACACCTCGAGGTTGCTTCATCCATCCATTGTTAAGTTATTCTGATTTCAAATATTTATTTAAGTGGGAGTAGGCAAGGATACAAAGCTCAAACTTGCTAAAACTGTGCCTGGAAAGAGGTGCAATGAACTGTGCTGACACTCCTCGAGGTATCAGGGTGCTGGATGAGGAGAAATACTGATTAAATGGAGTTTCCTGCCCACAGCTTCCAGAGCAGGCAATGGCAATGGGAGCTATTGTGTGTTCACAGCATCTCAAAGGCCAAAAAACGCACTGCTGTGGGAAGGAGAACCCCAAAGGGATAATCAAACCCCTCTAGATCCATACGTGTAAAGGCAGTAAAGCTGATGATTGACAAACAATACCCAGGCACTCACAGAGAAGCCCCTGTAAAGGATAAAATCCCAAAGTCCACTTTTTTTTTCATTAAATGATTCAAATCTGAAAAACTAAAAATTCTTCACAGCACTATTGCTCCTGCAGTAGACAAGGGAACACTGTTCTTTGAGTAGGAGTTTTTTTCAGTCTTCAACCTTACTTGCATGCTCAAGAAACAGATCAACACCAGGAACATTAAATATCTAATAAAAAGCTGCAATGTATGGTCAGAATATCAAGACATTCAAAGTTTTTACCTATCTGTTGCTTCATTTTAGAAATACACATGGAATCAATGTACTGCATGTAAACTGATTTTTCTAAATAATTCATAAGAAAAAATGCAAACTTTCTATGTAACACTTACATAAATCCTAATTACTTCTGTGTTACGACCAAATTCCTTATCCCTAGAGAAGTGACAAATACAAAGGCTGTTTTGGATCTTACTAAATTCCTCAGTATCCTTCAAAGTCAAGTACCTGAGGTGGAATTTAATATATAGTCCTGGAAGCAATGTGATTTTATGGTATCGGAACTGCAGAGCCCAGCATTCCACTACTGGGCTGTGCCAGAGTCTCCTCCATGTGACAGCAAGTCTTTCAAAAATATTATATCCCTATTAGGAGTCTTGACAAAAGTCCTTTATCTTAAAAGCAAGAGAAATCCACCTTCCCCATTCCCCTCAACATTTTTTGCACACTTTGAAGTGTGTGGGTTTTTTAAAGGAAGAATATTGCTGAAGTCATACAAAGTATTTAAATTACTTTGCAATTATATTCAGCTGGAAACCGATAGGCATTTTTAAATCCTAGTCTTTTATAGCCTGTTCCTGCCTTTTTTCAATGTAAATATATAAATGGATTATTAGCCAAAATTACCTGTGTGTTTAAATTGTATTTATTAACAAAATGCTGCTGCTGTTATACCCCATGCATTTTAACAAGTACAGTAATAAAACCTCCAAATACTCATAAATTGTGTTTTCTAAGATCAGTATATTGTGCTGGTGACACACAGGGACCCTAAAGTTAAACAGGCGCCCACGCTGGTCAGGAATCCTGTAACCTGCCTGCAATAATAATCACCAGGCAATAATGCACCTGACAAACCCCCTTCTAATGAGACTCCTGCTCTTTTCATATAAATGCTAATACATACTCCATCCACAGAAAGCCAAGCAGCTTTGTGAAGATGAAGTTCACATCAACTTCAGCCAAACGCGGAGGGAGGATGGATAATCCCTCCCGCACGTTGTTTTCTGTCCGCATCTCGCCGAGGAGCGCTCACACCCAG